CCACTCAACCCTGTGAACAGACAGACCATCTGTAGGCCATGATGTTCAGCTGGGATTTGGGGAGATCTGGTGTGAAGTCAAATCTAACAAATTTTTATTTGATTGCTGCAGGGGAAATCCAGCCCTGCGGTGGTGGGTGGCCCTGCATGAGGATGAGAAAATGGGAGTTTGACCCTGGAACAGGCAAATCCACAGTGGCCACTTGTTCCTGACTGCTGGACAGGTCCTGGCACTCCAGATTTGAAAGGTTTTGAGGGGATTTTGTCCTGATGTAGAAAACCCAAAATGCTTTAAATTGCTTTTTATTCTGACTGAGGAAACAATTTCAGTTTCAGTTTCCTCAGTGAGTTCAGCCCTGGAAGCAGAGCCTTGATCCTTACAGGGAGTTTGGGTGTTCCTGTCACAGGGAACTGGGGTGTTCCTGTCACAGGGAGTTTGGGTGTTCCTGTCACAGGGAACTGGAGTGTTCCTGTCACCCTGTCCCAGTGAGCTGGGCTGTTCCTGTCACCCTGTCCCAGTGAGCTGGGCTGTTCCTGTCATCCTGTCCCAGTGAGCTGGGCTGTTCCTGTCACCCTGTCCCAGGGACAGGGCTGTTCCTGTCACACTGTCCCAGGAGCTGGGCTGTTCCTGTCACCCTGTCCCAGGGACAGGGCTGTTCCTGTCACCCTGTCCCAGGGACAGGGCTGTTCCTGTTGTACAAGTCCATGGCTCTGTCCTCCTTGGAGCTCCTGGCACGTTTCAAACCCTGGATGGGGAGCCTGAAAAATTCCCTTGGCTCCTTCCAAGCTGATAATTGGAAACAAGCTTCCATAGAATCATCTCAATATTCCCAACGTTTACTGGTGTTAAAATTCTCTTCATCATCCTGGGACTGAGATAATTTATCTTCAGGTCCTCAGGACTCATTTCTCATTTCTGTGGCTTTTGAACTTAGAGATCTGACTCGTGTCCAGATTTTTCTCTTTTCCCTTGACTTTTCCACTGGCTTTTTTTGGCACCAGGTCCAGTTGGCATCCTGAAGTGATGAGGAGATAAAAGCAGCAAGGCCAAAAGTCTTGGGAGGGATTTGGGTGATTGTTTTTAAACATTTTAGAGTGTGGGACGTGTTACAGGCTGGGTTTGTAGCTGTGAGCTTGGCTCTGTGTCCTGCTGTGGGGACAAGGGCTCCTTCCAGGGTGAGCCCCTGGAATCAGGAATGTTGAAAGTCTTTATCCATTAATTGCTTGGCTTTTTGGTAAATTTGACTGATGAAAAGTGTGCTGAGAGAGAATGTGGGTGCAGAGAGATTGGCCTGGACAGGGTGGACTAAAATGTCCAAAACATGTTCTTCCTAAATGGTCTTCCCGAAAATGCTGGTTGTGTGGTTGGGTTCCTGGGGGCTTTCTGCAGGGATACACATCAGTATCCAGTGCAAGGGGTGGCTGGGAATTCTGGACACAAATGTAGCAATCCCAGGAGAAACCTGTGGAGATCACCTTCATTGTGGGAATCTTGCTGCAAGTTCTTGGTGCTCCTTTCCTGGGGCTTCCTGAAGCTGTGCTCACTTTCTGAAGACCTGGAGCATTTCTCATTCCTGGGAGCTCCTTGGAATTGCTGTGGGATCCATCACCAGAACCTGGATGGAGGAGAGGACATCCCATGTGCCCTCAGCACAGCTGGCTTCCTTCAGGAATGTGGGTCTGCAGACAGGGCCTGGATGTGAGCCTGCTGATTAATTCCTGGCACGTTTGGGACAGAATTCATCTGGGATTGGGTTGTAAGATTTTCGCCTTATGGAAAAAATCCAGCGTGAGCTGAGAGAACAGTTGGGTCAGAGCCTGGATTCCCTCCTAGATACATCACCAGGCGTGATGGTGCAGCTTTCTCTGGGAATGTGGTCTGGACACTGCTCCAAAGGTGCTGCTGGGACAGTTCATGGCATGGAGAAGCCTGGAGCTCTGCCTCGGATTCCTGGATTCCCAGAGTCCCAGCTTCTGCAGTAACTGTTCCCTTTCCTGAACACTTTCTGGAGATGGAGAAGGCTTGCAGGGTGGAAATGTTCTCTGTACCAGCTCCATGCAGCTCTCCCAGGAGTGCTCTCAGCTCTTTTGTTGGTGGGATTCCAAGATTTCACTTTCCTGGGCATCTTTTCCTTGGTGGAGAAGGGTGAGGGCGGATGGTTCACCCCAGCTGTGTTAGTAACTGGAATTCAGCTCATTTCAAGGAAGGAGGCCTTTCCCAGCTCCATTTCTGCTATTTCCAGACATTTCCCCTGTGCTGATGCAAGGGCTTTGTTGCTGAAATCCACTTTATTTTCATTCTGTCCTCAGTTACAGACTCAGGGAATGGTTTGGGTGGGAAGGGACCTTAAAGATTCCAACCCAAACCATGGGCAGGGACACCTCCCACTGTCCCAGGCTGCTCCAGCCCCAATGTCCAGCCTGGCCTTGGACATTGCAGGGATCCAGGGGCAGCCCCAGCTGCTCTGGGAATTTGTGCCAGGGTCTCACCGCCCTCACAGGGAAGAATTTCTGGAATTGTGTCGATAAACAACGTGGTTGTTCCCAAACCTTTCATCCCAATGTTTCTCCCTTTCATTGATCTAATTCACTCACTGATTTTGTGGTAGGAGTTTTAGGTCTTTGCCACAATAAGGACAATATTCAGATATGGCCCTGCGTGGCTCATGAATATTTTTTGAATTTGGCAACACCAGGATTGAGTCTGAGTGTGACCTTAAAGATTCCAACCCAAACCATGGGCAGGGACACCTCCCACTGTCCCAGGAAGCTCCAGCCCCAGTGTCCAGCCTGGCCTTGGACATTGCAGGGATCCAGGGGCAGCCCCAGCTGCTCTGGGAATTTGTGCCAGGGTCTCACCGCCCTCACAGGGAAGAATTTCTGGAATTGTGTCGATAAACAACGTGGTTGTTCCCAAACCTTTCATCCCAATGTTTCTCCCTTTCATTGATCTAATTCACTCACTGATTTTGTGGTAGGAATTTTAGGTCTTTGCCACAATAAGGACAATATTCAGATATGGCCCTGCGTGGCTCATGAATATTTTTTGAATTTGGCAACACCAGGATTGAGTCTGAGTGTGGAAAACTCAGCTTTAATTTCCAGTTGGCATTAACTCAGGGAGCTGAGGAGCATTTGGGCTGGAGCTGCTCAGGATCAGCCTGGGAGAGCTGGTTTTTATTAAGCAGGACTTGATTTAGTCCAAAGTAAAACCATTTGTGTTTAATCTGATCCATGAAGCTGCTGGGAGTGTGAAAATCCAGAAATTTAAACTTTTTCTGGGCCATCATTGCACCACGTAGGACTTTGGGAACCTGGAACAGTCACCCCAGGAATACATTTCCTAAGGAATTAGTACCACAACAGGAAGTTTTAAAGTTTGAGTGCCATGAAAAGACCTGGTGACAAATGTCCCTCAGCCACGACCCTTCCTTGGGAGGCTCCTCACCACAAACCTGGAGCGATGCCGCTTTTCCCAGAGATTCCCCTTGGAATTCAGCAGGAAAATCAGCTGCACTGAGGGCATTTCTGTCCCATCTGCCCTTTGGGAGCTGCTCCTGGGTGACTGCTGGGTCACTGAGCTCCTTGCTGTGGAGTTTTTAGGGCAGAGCAGCTCCTGCTGAACCAGGAAAATTCCAGAGCCAAAACAAATGGCTGTAAACTTTTCCCTCTCCCCGTGAAAACGAAGGGAAGGAGGTTGTTGTGTCCAAACCCTTTTGGAGCTGACACTGTGGGAAAAGTCTGTCCAATCTGGGTGTTATTGTACTTGAGGAATTGCAGTAAATCCTGAGGGACCCCACAGGTGGCACTGGGATCTCCTCACAAGAACTGCCAGTGTGGAGTTGGCACTTTGGGATGCAGGAGCCTCGCACAGCCCTTGGTGCCATCCAGCAGGTTTCATAGGTTGTCAGTTAAAATCAGGGCTCTGAGGTGGGAATTCTTTGTTCCTGGTGGGTTTTGGGAATTCCTGGTGGGTTGGGAACATTTCAGTGTGTGCCCAGGGGTCAACAAGACCTGTGGAATTCCTGCAATCCTGGGCAAGCTTGGTGCCACGAAAGCAGGAAACTTTTTCCATCCAAGGGGGAAAAAAGGGGAATCTGCCTTTAGTTCCCTGTGGAAGGAACATTCCTGCCAAGCCTCTGCTGTGATGTGAAGCATCTTTATATGAAATATTCCATGTCCCTTCCCTCAATTGGGAGCAGCCTCGGTGCTGCAGAGCCAAAGTTCAAGTGGGAACAAACCTTTGATTTTCTCCTGCTGCCTTTGTAATTCTTATCCAGACCACTGATGAAAGGTAATTGCTGTAGGATATTATTCCCAATCCATTAACCCTGATTTACAGCAGAATTCCTTATCAAGCTTCAGTGCTAAAACACCACCACTAATTGTCTTAACTGAGCCTGGCTTGGAATAAAGATTTCCTGCCTTTCCCTTTGTATTCCCTTCTTTCCCACTTGCCTTTCCCTTTGTGTCCCCTTCTTCCCAAAGCACTTTGATTCTTCCTGTTGTTCTTTTCACACCATTTCTCCCCAGACTCAGGAGGTTTTTTTTATTTGGTCTTGCAAGTCAAATTAACATGAGATTGCCAGAATTTGCAGGGGAGCTGTGGGAGGGGAAATGGAATTCATTGGAGCAGTGGATTTATTTCAAACACGTCCCAGTGCTCTCCCAAATCTGAGCTTTTACTCTGTGCAGGAGGGGATGGAAAATGGAAAACTCTGAGGATTCATTCCAAGGTTCCTCAGGGCAGGGGAGGATGGAAAATGGAAAACTCTGAGGATTCATCCCAAGGTTCCTCAGGGCAGGGGAGGGTGGGGAATTGGCTTCACCAACGTCACTGTGGTGCTGTGGTCACTTAGATGTGTCAGGACACTGAAATTCCGTGTGGGGCTTGGGATATTTTGGATATTTGGGTCAGCAGGCTTTGAGTGAATTCTTTGGGTGTGAGTAGATGGGTTTTGTTTCCTGGACTGGATGTTTTTCCTTGACTTGCTGCATCAGGATTGAGAGCAAACACGAAGTCACAATCTTAGGAGGACTCAACGAATTTGTTGTGAAGTTTTATGGACCACAAGGAAGTAAGTTTGTGACCCTGCCCTTCCAGAAAAACAATCCACTGGCTTGGGGAATAAGGAAGTGACATTCCAGAGGGGAAGAGATGAGCAAATCCAAGGGGGAGGGAGAGAATTCCATTTTCTGAGGGTGGGGAGGATCCAGCTGGGAGCATGGTCATGGATAGACCCCATCCCTTGGAGCTCTGGAAAACTCCTTCAGCACCCCAGAGCTTTCCTAGCCCTGGCCAAACTTGCATCACTCGTGGGAATTTCCATGGAGTTTGTCATTAAAATGGCTTTTCCACCTTAATTTAGCACCATCTCCAAAGGTAAGGAGATTATCCCACGGTGCCTGTTTTTAATCAGGCTCTGCTGTCTTTGTGCTGAGATCTTCTCCAGGATCAGTTCAGATTGTGTGAGGCAGAGCAGGGAAAAGGCTTTGAAATCTCCCCCCAGTGGAGCTGTGGATTATTCCAGAGATGTGTTTTCCTCAGTGCTCTGCTTCTGTTTATCCTCTCCTCAGCTGTGGAGTGTCTAATTCCTGCTTTTCCTCCCTTGCAGCACCGTATGAAGGTGGAGTATGGAAAGTTAGAGTCGACCTTCCTGACAAATACCCCTTCAAATCCCCATCTATAGGTAACAAACACTCATTTGCCATCAAAATCCTGGGATTTGGGCCTGAACTTTGCAGGTGGAGTGCTACCAGTGTAATAGAAGGACTTGAAGTCTGCAAAATGTTTTTATGGGATTTCAGATCCCAAGAAGAGAGGGATTTTGGGTTTTGGAAGGAGGAGGAGCTGAGAGTGGGATTTGGCTGCATAGTTGTGTGTTGATCAATTCAATCTCTATTCCATGTGGATTTTTTTTAATAATAACTCCACTTATTGTGGAGTGGTGGAGCAAAGATCACAGAAATCAGTTCTTGGTCTTGGGGTGAACCCAACTTTTGGGGTCTTCTATCCAAAAGTGGATGGAAGTTCTTCCACTGAAGCCTCCATCCTCTTGGAGCAAGGAATACATATGTGGAAGAACAGAAAAGCAGGGATTTACCACCAAAAAACCTGCTGGCTTGACTGGTCAGGCTTGTCTAACCTTGGAGAGCAATAGGAAATTCCATTAGGGAATGGTTTTTAGCTTGGATCCATCCCTGGGGAGCAGGAAACCACCTTGGATGTCTTCAGGTGCCCATTCCAGTGGCTGCAGCCCCTTCCAACGCCAACATCCTCCTTTGGAGCTGGCAAGTCTTGGCTGCTTCCTTCAAATACCCCCTTGGGCTCAGGTTTGATTTGGGAGCTCTGTGGGATGAGGACTCACCTGTTCCAAGTGGGAATTGTGCCTTTTGGGAGAGGGTGCTGCTGTTCATACACTGCCCTTCACCTTTTTTTAATTTATTTTTTTAAATTTGAAACATTCTGTGAACCCTAGCAATGTGCAAATATTTCTGAGTGAGAGCACAGGAACCTGCAGCTCTGAGGAGCCTTTTCTTCCTCCTGAGTCAGCTCTGGGAATCCCTCTTGGAGAGGCACATTCCAAGTGGGAATTCCCACTGTTTGCTGCCTGTCCTTTGTCCTTCCTCACTTCCCAAACCAGTGCAGCTCAGGGCAGTCTTAAATCATGGAATGCTTTGGCTTGGGAGGGATCTCAAACCTCATCCAATTCCAACAGCTCCCACTGTCCCAGGCTGCTCCAGCCCCAATCCAGCCTGGCCCTGGACACTTCCAGGGATCCAGGGCAGGGCCATGTGCAGGGAGCTGTTTCTGCTCACATCTCTGAGTCCTTTTGGCCTTTCTCATGTTGATTTTGCTGCTTTTCTCTCAGTTTTCCATCTCTCTCTTGTTTAAATCTGTTGTTTCCAGTGGTTTATCCCAGACCCCATGAAGAGCTTCCCTCACCCTATGAGTCTCTGATCAAGTGGCTGAAAAACCCTTCTTTTCTTCCTAAAAAACTGCCTCTTGCTGGAAAGTCTATTTTTTTCCTTCCCAAAATCTCCCTCTTGCTGAAAAAACCACTTTTTCTTCCCAAGATCTTGCTGAAACCTCATTTTTTTCTTCCCAAAAAACTGCTTCTTGACGGAAAACCCTTTTTTTTCCTTCCCAAAATCTTCCTCTTGCTGGAAAATCCCTTTTTTCCTTCCCAAAAAACTGCCTCTTGCTGAAAAAACCCCATTTTTCTCCCTAAAAATCTGCCTCTTGCTGGAAACAAGAGTTGAGATATATAAAATCCTTGCTAGAGCTGAGCTGGCTTAGCAGAGCAGAGCTCAGGAAAAGCTGGGAAGCTCCAAGGAACGTGCTGGGACTCAGGAAAGCTCCCAGGAGGCTGCAGGGAAGGGTTTGTTTTCCTTTATTTCCCATTTTTGCTGCCCCAGCCCAGCTTATCTGGGAGAGCCAGGCCTGGGTGAAGCCTCCTGGGGGATCCTGATTATCTCTGCTTTGGGCACTGCTGATAAAACCTTCATCCCAGCTGAACTGGGAGCACTGGGAGTGATGGAAATGAGAATTTTCCCATTCCTAACCCTGCCTGAGCTCGGGATAATAATTATAATAATTATAATAATTAGCAGGGAAGAAGTTTGCTGTGGAAATCTCTGATTTTTAGAGGTGGGAGTGAAAGATTTCAGGGATTATGGAGCCCATAGATGGACAGGAGGTCCTGGGCTTGTTCCTGTTCTCAGCAGAGTTCAAATTGTCCATGTGAGTCTCTCCTTGGAGAAAATATGGAATCCAGCAGCTTTTCCTTGAATAAATTCCACCTTTATCCCCAAGCTTAAACACAAACCCCATCCTTTCACCTTCCCTTGATATTCCAGGGCTGGAGGCTGAAATATTCCTTCTAGCCTAAAAAATCTTTGAGCCTGGCATGACTTTTTTTGTATGAAATAGGAGTTTTTTTAGCATTTTTGGCTTTTCTTTTTGGTTTTATCCTTGAATTTTTTTTTTTTTTTTTGAGTCTATCCATGTGCTCCAGAAAAATGATGGTTAAGAATTCCCTTGGAATCTTTTAGAATCTTTTATCCAAGGATGAGATCCAGGGAATCTTGGTGTCAACCTGACCAGGAGAGGGTTTTCCAGAGCAGTCCTTGGGAAAGGTGTGGAGGTTTTAGGAATCCCAAAAGGAGCAGGGATCTCTTTGTCCCCAGGAGAAGCTTTTTTGGATCTTTTCCTGCCAAATCTTCTCTCCCCTCTCCCATCCTCAGATATCCATGGCATTTATTCCCCGTTCTTCACATGGATCATTATTGCTGTTCCCTAAAAACTGCACTGGGAATTTCGGAGTGTTCCCACACTTGAGGACCTGAACCATGCTGAGTTTTTGTGTGGAGATCCCTGGGACAGCTCCATCACATCCTGTGGTGTTCCCAGCACTGTCTGGATTTGCTGTGGAATCTGACAGATCCTGGATTTTGCAGGATGATTTTTCCCAACAGGAAAAAATCCCCAAAAAGGGAAATGCACATCCAGGAATTTAAACAGAGCCTGGTGTAAGGCTGGCAACTTGGCTCTGGGCTTGAGTGCTCCCTTCAGGATCAATAAATAAATCCCTGAACATCCCAATTTTCAGGGTTCAGCTGGAGCAGTTGCTCCAAAAAACCCAACTGCTGCTGCTCCTGGTGTTTCCTGGTGCCAATTATTGGGAATATTCCTGCATTTCTGAGGGAACACTTCCCTGCTCTGTGTCTGCTCCATTTCCAAAGTGTTTGGAGCTCTTTAGGATTCTGCTTCTCTCCTTTTCCCTGTTTAGGATGCTCCTTTTCCCTGTTTGGGATTTTCCTTTTCCCTCTTTAGGATTCTCCTTAGGATTCTGCTTTCCCTGTTTGGGATTTTCCTTTTCCCTGTTTAGGATTTTCCTATTCCCTGTTTGGGATTCTCCTTTTCCCTGTTTGGGATTTTCCTTTTCCCTGTTTAGGGTTTTCCTTTCCATGTTTGGGATTCTCCTTTCCCTATTTGGGATTCTCCTTTTCCCTCTTTGGATTTTCCTTTTCCCTCTTTAGGATTTTCCTTTTCCCTCTTTAGGATTCTGCTTCTCTCCTTTCCCCTGTTTAGGATTCTCCTTTCCCTGTTTAGGATTCTCCTTTCCCTGTTTAGGATTTTCCTTTTCCCTGTTTAGGATTTTCCTTTCCCTGTTTAGGATTCTCCTTTCTCTGTTTAGGATCCTCCTTTTCCCTGTTTAGGATTCTCCTTTCTCTATTTAGGATTTTCCTTTCCCTGTTTAGGATTTTCCTTTCCCTGTTTGGGATTCTCCTTTCCCCTGTTTACGATTTTCCTTCCCCTCTTTAGGATTCTCCTTTCCCTGTTTAGGATTCTCTTTCTCTCCTTTCCCTGGGATTTAAAATCTTCAGGGAAATTCCTGCCTTTCCAGCTTTCCCAAAGAGGAGTTGGGGAGGACTGCAAGGGCTCCTTGGAGCTCCCAGCTCACAGAAATTTGTGGGAATTTGGAGTTTTTAATCATTCCCTGCCAAGAGCTGGAGATGAATTCCCTTTAATGCCACAAACAGGAGGAAATTCAGAGTGGGAATGTCCTGCCTTGCTTGGATACAGGAGCAGCAGAAACAACCTGGGAGCCTGGAATTTATTTACTATTTAATTACTATTTATTAAAAAATCTGCAGGAATATTAGGCCAGGATAGGATTTGTTCATAATCAAATGCCAGAACTGGAAAATTTACATTCAAAATTCCCAGAGCCTCAATCTCTCAAATAAATTCTAGATATGCTACATATTTTGATAAAAATTCACTCTATATTTATTAATTCTCCCTCTATTTATAAATTCTCTATTTATAAATTTCTCCATATTTATAAATTATATATATATTTATAAATCTATCTATATTTAAAGTTCTGCATTCTTATTTCTATAATATGTTATATTTTCTGCATTATTATATTTTCTGTATCTTCATACCCAGCTCTCATTTTCCTCCATCTCTGTCCCAGTTACCTGCAGGTGCAGATATTTTTATTTCCCCTTGCATTTCTGTTTTCCCTTTTTTCCAAGTGTTTTCCCAAACAAAACACCTGGAGTGTGCACAGAACATATGGAATATATGTATAAATATATATGTGTGTGTAGAATGAGGCATTGTGGCAGCTGGTACAGGAATGCAGCTGGATTTAATTTCATTTTTTTAAAATTTCATTGAATTCCAGCCAGGATTTCACAGATTTCTCCTGGCTTGTGCTTCATTTATTGTTCTGGGAAGCTCTTGGGATTTGAGGGATAAAAACTCCTTGTGCTAGTGAGTGCTCTTGGAGGGCTCCTCACCTCAAATCCCATCAAAAATCAATTTGTGCCTTTGCCAAGGAGGGCTCCTTGACCTGACAGGGAACAAAGCTCTGAGGTGGGAACATCCCTGGAAAATGGGAACATCCCAGGCAGCAGCAGCTGGGACTGGGACAGGGGATTTGTCCTCGTGCCCACCTCCTACCACAGATCCTCAACCTTCTCCTGGTGGTTCCACACGAAGGGAATCCCAGAAATTGCTGTGAGGTGGGGTTAAAAATGAAAAAATTCAAATTTAAAAACCAATTTCCTTGCAGGCCCTTGGGTGTTTGGGGAGGGAGAAGTGTCCAGCTGGCCTCAATCCACGAGCAAATCCATGTGTGGGGAGTTTGGGATGGGTAGGTGGATATAAACCTGCTTCCAGTGGGGAATCCCCTTGAACTGATCCCAAACTGCACCTGGAATTTCACTTTTCATGGATGTTTGTGCTCAGCTTGTCCTTTTTATTTGTCCAGATGAGCACGGAGCACGTCGGTGTCATCGGGCTCTCCTGGGCAAGGCCAGGACATTGGGATGTGCTTTTGGGAATGTCACTCTTCCCTCTTGGCTCCCAAACTTTCACTTCTGCCTGGATGGTGGAAAAACAACCAGGAAAATGTGGAAAATGTCCCCAGGGCAGGGAGTGGAACCTGCATGAGCTTTATCATCCCTTCCAACCCAAACCATTCTGGGATTCTATGGGAGTCTTCCACATTTTCCAGGTTTTCCAGGTATTAGGGTGGGAATCTTCACCATTCCCTAGTTATCCAGGTATTAGGGTGGGAATCTTCACCATTCCCTAGTTATCCAGGTATTGGGGTGGGAATCTTCCCCATTCCCTAATTATCCAGGTATTGGGGTGGGAATCTTCCCCATTCCCAAGTTGTCCAGCTATTGGGGTGGGAATCTTTCACATTGCCAAGTTATCCAGGAGTTGGGGTGGGAATCTTCCACATTCCCAAGGTATTAGGGTGGGAATCTTCCACATTTCTTAATTATCCAGGTGTTAGGGCAGGGAATCTTCCTTGTTTTCCAGGTATTACAGTAGGAATCTTCCACATTACCCAAGTATTACAGTGGGAATCTTCCATGTTTTCCAGGTGTTAAGGTGGGAATCTTCCCCATTCCCAAGTTATCCAGGTGTTAGGGTGGGAATCTTCCATGTTTTCCAGGTGTTAAGGTGGGAATCTTCCCCATTCCCAAGTTATCCAGGTGTTAGGGTGGGAATCTTCCCCATTCCCAAGTTATCCAGGTATTAGGGTGGGAATTTTCCATGTTTCCCAGGTGTTAGGGTGGGAATCTTCCCCATTCCCAAGTTTCCAGCTCCAAGGAATTGCCAGCCTTTGGTGAGCTGAGATTTCAGTTTTGCCACCCTTCTCCTCGAGGGTTTTTGGCAATCCAAGGAATTTTCCAGGGCTGTAGATGCAACACCAGTGGCTTCCAAGGTTGGTTTTCCATTTTGGGAACAGCTGCATCCCTTCCTGGTGTGGAATTCCTTAGGGATGTCCAGGGGGGGTTCCTGTTATCACCCAAAGCCTTTTTATCCACATGGATTTTATGCTTTTATTCCAAAGGCAATCCTGGACTTCACTTCTCCATACAGAAAGGGTGGATTGTGCTGCTCACATTCTTCCCAAGCATTGGCTTTTCCAGGAGTTCAGTGGGAATTTTGGTTTAAAATATTAAATGAAATGTTTACAACCAGTCCAGCACCTGGAATCACAGGCTGTGACCTCGGCTCCATGCCATGGAAAGAACCCCAAAATCCCAATCCTGTCTGATGGAATGCTCACCTGGAATTCTGCACAGTGCATTAACTGGGATGTGCTGTGTGACCATAAACCTGCCCCAGTGCTGGGAATTTTTTTTTTTTCTTCCCTCCTGGTTTCCTGTAGAACTTGGAATTTCATTTTTACCTGGATGTTTATGGGTGCTGTGTCCTTTTTATCCATAAAAATAAATACAGAGCCTGTCAGGTTTATGGGAACAATGTTGGCACAGGAGAATTTGCACTTCAAGTAAAGGAGGAGAGACTTGTGCTTGTTCCTGGATCAGGACAAAAGAAGGATTTCCATGGAGCTGCTCTTGGCCTGAGCAGTTTGTGTCATGGAACGAGGCTGGGGGACAAATCCTTGGAAAAGAATGCAGGGAGAAGATGTTCCTGTTCCTCCCTGGAGAACAACTCTTCCATTTGGGAAGCTTGAACCCAAGGACACTGTGAAGGAAGGGCTGTTTGTATTCCCAGTGTGTTCCCCACCCTGTCCATCCTTGATTTGCTTTTCCCAAAGAGCCAGGCAGGATTTAGGATCGGGATCAGCGCTCGCTGCAGCTCCGGCACAACGGATCCGTGACCTGATTTAAACTTGGGGGAGCTGCAGAACGTAAATATTTGATGGAACTCCAGCTTCCCTTGGTAAATCTGCTTCAGCTTTCCAGCTGAATCCTGCCAGGCTGTTCCTGAAATTCACCTGCTAGCACGGAGATGTTTTGGAGTTCTTTCTCTTGGAATTTGGGCGTTGTCTCAGCCTGGGGTTGGGTTTGTGCAAAATCCCCCAGTCTGAGCAAAGCTGGAATTCTGTTTGTGTCACAATTCCTACTGGGATCCATGCTGTCACTCACCCTGGGGCTGGGTGACACTCCAGTGCCTCCCCTGAGGCTGTGCATGAAGGTGGGCGAGGCTGGCAGCTTTTTAAGTGGTTAAATATGGATTTTTTTAGGCTTTCTGGAAAGAAAACTTCCATGTTTTTTGAGTCCTGGAAGGAGCTTTTTCCATGGATTGAGTCAATATTCCAGACCTGAATTTCTTGCCTGTTTTTATATTTGTCAGAGGCAATAGTTGCTGTTGGTTTAAAAAGATTCCTGCAGAATTCAGGGAAATTCCCACCTGAGCTGTGTTTGTTGGGATTTGTGAGCTGTGGGATGGTGGCACAACAGGGAAAAGGAGGATTTATGGCAAATTCTCCATCCAAAAAGGTGGCACAACAGGGAAAAGGAGGATTTATGGCAAATTCTCCATCCAAAAAGGTGGCACAGCAGGGAAAAGGAGGATTTATGGCAAATTCTCAATCCAAAAAGCAACTCCAAGGTTTGGAAGCAGCTTTTCCTGGTTGGAGCCACCCCTGTGGGCAGATCCCAAATGATTTCTCCAGGCCAGGAATGTAGGAATTCATTCCATCCCTGATCCATGTCTAGTTTGTGCCCACATCCAGGTTTTTGGGTTCCTCCTGTTGAGGAGTTTGGGATCCTGGATCCTGCAGCCACTCTCAGCCATCATTGGAAACTTTTTTTTTTTGGGATAGATGTGCTTTGCTTGCACACAGGCTGAGGATGGTGCAGAATTCCATTAATGTGTTTTATTTTATCATTATTTATGGAATAAAAAAAGAGTGTTTGGAGCTTCCAGCTGTCTTGAACTTGAGGTTGAAGTTGGCAGCTGGAAAACAAAATTTATCTTTTGATTAAAGTGTGGGGCACCTTCTGCTGGGACATTTTAAGGCTTGAAACCATTTCCAGATTTATTCTGAATAAAACTTTTTATTCAAAATTTAAAAAAAAATTAAAAATAAATTTATATAGTTTTCTTTCAAAATTTATTTTATTTATGTCACAATTTAATTTGCAACTCAGAACCAAAAAAACCCCTCTTAAATCCGGAAATGTGGACAAAGCCAAGCTCTCTCCTCCTAAACCTCACCTGAGGTGTTTTTTAGGAGACCAGGGGCACCAAGAGGAGAATTAATTGCTGTATTGATGGAAAATTTCAATTATTACCTCCCTGGCTTACAAGTGTAGATTAATGTTGTGATGTCAAGCTCATAGAAAATCTCTGTTGGAAAAAAAAATAAATTATATATATATTAATATATCTATAAATATAAATAAATGAATAGATATATATAATATATATAGAAAAATATATAAAATATATTTTAAAATCAAATGTTGAGCTTAAATTTGTGTTCAAATTTGCCCTTCCAAACCCACTTCATCAGATGGGGGAGCTCCACTGAGCTCATGCATGGGAATTTTCAGGATCCAACCAAATCTTTGTGGTTGCACTGCAGAGTTTTCCTGAATTTCCTGACTCCAGGATTCCCTGGAATTTGAGGGAAAGGACCCCAGGGTGGGAATGGTGCCTGCTTATTTTACAAGTTATTTATGGCTGGGATGGCTTTGTGTCCTTGTTCCATAAATTCCAGACTTCTCATGTAAAAAATGTTGATCTGGCTTTTTTTTTCCTGCTGATTCCCCTCTGTTTCTCCTTGCAGGATTCATGAATAAAATCTTCCATCCCAACATCGACGAAGCGTGAGTCAATCCTTCCTTCACCTTTGTAGTAAATCCTCCAAAATTTCAGATCTTTTCCCGTGGTTTTTTGGTTGTGTGGAGCTTCCCTGGCAGTAAAATTCCAATTTCTTTTCTCTTGGGAAGATGGAATTGATTGAAGACCATAAATAAGAATAAATCAGGCCTTATCCCAAACCCTGGGGAAGGGGTTGGGGAGGAGTTTTTTCAATTCCCAGGGTTAATTCCATTTTTTCCATGTGTTCCAGGTCAGGAACTGTATGTCTAGATGTAATCAATCAAACTTGGACAGCTCTCTACGGTGAGTTGGGCATTTTCCTCTCTACTGATGATGTCAGGCCACTTTTTTCCTTTGATTTTGGCGTTTTTTACTGAATTTGAAACTCTTCCTTGAGCCAAGATCTCGAGAAAAATAAGATTTTTTTTACAGGTTAGGAGATGGTATTGCCTCTGATGCTGCAGAGAGGTTTCCATGGGCTCATTTCTGGTTAAAAATCTAGTTTTTAAGAGATAAACAGGTCAATTAAAAAACCAAATCAATTTAAAATAGAGCTTAGAGAAAGCTGGAATTGTTAGAAGGAGCACAGCTGAGTCTCTGTTTAAAAATAGGAGTTCCAGATATTCCAGGTATGCTTTGTGGAAGAAATCCAGGGGAATGTGGACATCAAATCCTTCAGGTTCTTCCCTGGAAAACTGATTTTAGCTGGAATTCCTGATTGGAATTCTGGAATTGCCAGTGTGGTGGAGGGATGAGGATCACAGCATGGATTTGTGGTGGGAGATCAGCTTCTCCACAAAAAGGATAAAAAGAAATAATTGCAGTGGTTTTGTGCTCCAGCATTCCAGGTCCTGCTTGGAGCTGCAGGGGGGCACTGGCAAGGCTGAATTCCCTCTAAAATCACCAATCCAAGATTCCAACACCACCTCACAAAGAAATGGAAAAGGGGGAATAATTCCTTTCCTTTTTGGAATCTTTCAATTCCTTTAAAGCAGAGCTGGCAAAAGATGTGGGTGAGATAATTCCAGCAGCAACCAAGGTGGGAGAAACCTGGAATATCCACCAAAAAATTCCTGAGCACCTCCTGGTTCAATTCCTGCTCATTCCCTGGGGAAGCAGCAGCTCCTCAGTGCTGGGGGTGAAATTCCTGCACAAGTTCCTGCTGAACCAGCTGGAAAACAAAATTTCTCTTTTGGTTCAAGCGTGGGGCACCTTCTGCTGGGAGGTTGTAGGGCTTGAAACCACATGTGGGGCTTTGAGAGAAGGTTCCTTCAAGAAAAAATCGTTTTCCTGGGTGTCCTGTGAGCCATGGGGGATTCCAGGGCTCTGCTCCCTCATCCTCAGGATCCCTCAGTGGCCACAAAGAGCCAGGTGGAGACCCCCGGCCCAAATTTTACAAATTAGAACCAACTCCTTGCTGCCAGTGCCCAAATCCAGTCCCTGGGAATTGCAGCTGCCAATTCCCTGTGCCGTGGCAGGGAATGTCCACACAGAGCACTCCTGCTGCTTCCTGGGATCCCTTTTTGGGAGCCACATCCTTGCTCCAGGTGCTGCTGTGCTCCATCCCAGGTGTCAAAGCTGGGCACCACATCCACAGCTGGAGCCTGGAATTCTGTGGCTGCATCCCAGCTGGAGGAGCTCGTTGCACAGGGAGAGCACCTGGAGATCTCCTTCCCCTTTTTTGGGGGATTTTTTTGGGAAGTGGAGGGTTGTGGGAATTGAATTCAGCAGCCTGGTGATGACTCAGGAATGGAATCCAGCTTTTTTCCAGGAGCAGGGACAGGTTGAGGTGGCCACACTGCTCCTGTGGTGGGTCCTGGGCAGGGATGGCATTCCCTGATTCTGATCCAGGCAGCAGGACACTGATTTCTGGAACATTCCCACGGGAATCCCCCACACCAGGAGCATTGCCAAGGAGGAATGATGGCACAGGGCTGGTTCCTGACCATCCCTGCCTCTGGAATGGGGAGTTGGTGCTTCCCAAGAGGGGTTTGTGTGTCCCCAGTCACTCCTGGGCACTTTCCTGCTGGGGATTATTGGTGACAGATTTCTGCTGGCACCGAGCTGTTCCTGGGAGCTCTGCACACTCCCTGAGTTGTTGAATTTTTTAGTGGAGATTTCTGTTAACCAGATCAGGGAAAGCTCTGGAAGAGCTTTGTGCTTTCCACGGAATCATGGAATGGTTGGGGTTGGAAGGACCTCAGGGGCTGAGCTCCAACCCTGCTCCATGGGCAGAGAACTTCCATTGAAATAGGGATTGGGAGAGGTGAAGAACCCATGGGCAGAGAACTTCCATAAAAATAGGGATTGGGAGAGGTGAAGAACCCATGGGCAGAGAACTTCCATAAAAATAGGGATTGGGAGAGGTGAAGAACCCATGGGCAGAGAACTTCCTTTAAAATAGGGATTGGGAGAGGTGAAGAATTCAGGGAAGGGCAAAGCACAGCACTGTTTGTTCAGAGTTTTTCCTAATTTTTCAAGCCAGGATTAAAAATCAGGAAAATTCCATCCCCTTCCTTGCTTAACCCATGGATATCAGCATGTATGTGTAGGGATGAGGAGTCTGTGAGGAGCTTTATTTTTATTTTTGATTTTCCTCCCTTTATTCCCCCTCATTTTCAGTGTGTTTCCCTTGGAGTTTGTGCAGCTGTCTGGGTGTTCCAGGATGGTTTTTTGGGATGGTTCTGCCTCTGGGGACACGAACACCAACGCTGTGTTTGCCTTGCAGATCTCACCAATATATTTGAGTCGTTCCTGCCCCAGCTGCTGGCTTATCCCAATCCCATAGATCCCCTAAACGGGGACGCTGCAGCCATGTACCTCCACCGACCAGAAGAGTACAAACAGAAAATTAAAGGTGAGGCCTAATTAACAGCATTCATTGGGATTCCACCCCGAGGGAATGATGGCTCTTTGCTGCAGGTTTTGCCTGGTTTTTCCCCTTGCAGTTTCCAGTGAAGGAAGGAGGGGAAAGCTCAGGTAATCCCAAAAGCTGGGATCAGCTCTGCCACATCACCCAGGAGTGGTTAAACCTGGAGTCACTGTTCTGGTGGGAAATGCCTGATTTTTGAGGGTAAAACTCTCAAAATTTGATTTTAGTTATGAATTATTCAGCTTCCCTTGGCCGATTCCTCTGACAGGATTGTGGGGACTCCCCTGCAGATCTGCCCTGATCAGTATCCCAAAGTCCATTCCCTGCTTTTTCATACCAGGGAAAGGCAAAAAAATTCATACCTTGCAGAGAAAAAAAAAAGGTTTGTCAGATAAAATCTGCAGTGCCAGCACTGAGAGTCCTCCTTTCACGAAAACAGCCTAAAACCCAAAAACACCCTTGGAAAAAAGCCAGAACAACTGATGGCAGCCAAAGGAAGCTCTGAGGACATCCCTTGGGATGGAGGGATAGCCTGCTCCCTCATTTCCCCCTTGCAGCCAGGTACAGATGATCTGGAGGGAGCTGGAAGTGCTGGGAACGTGTTCCATAAATCCCAGAGCCCGATTCCACCGGCTCCTAGCAGGATTGCGTGACAAGGATGGCACGGAGCTAAAAAACTCTGCCACCCCCTGTTCTAAAAAATAACCTTGGACGTGTTAAAAGTGCTGCAGAGGATCCTGGCAGCTCCTGTGCTCTGGGAAACTCGGCAGTGCAAATGCAATATTTTATTTATTGCTGCTGCTCCTGGTGTTTCCATCCTTGCAGGGAAAGTTCGTGGTGCTTTGGGGAGGGGGCACAGGCACAAAGATGTGCCCCAAAATTTGTAATCCCTCCTCTTCCCTGCTTCCTCTCTGGGAGATTTCTTAGGGAATCTTCCTTTGGGAAGGTGAGGAACAGCTGGAGGATCTCCAGGCTGGGTTTCTGCTGGGAGCTCAGGACATCTCTGGGTCACTTTTCCCACCCCAGGGGTCTGGAATTGCAGAAGGATCCCCTGGAACACCAGGGCTGTGACCACAGCTCGTTCCTGCTGCTCCAGGCCCTGGGACAGATGAATCCAGTGGTGTTTCCTGGCAGGAATTGATTCCCCTTCCTGAACACCCTTCTGTGGGAATGCTCTGTTACTATTTAGATATTTTGGGTTTTTTTTTCCCCTTGATGGACTGAAAATCCCAATGCAAATCCCAATCAATACGACACTCAGCATGGAAACTCCTAGAAATTTCACTTTTCCTGGCTTAAACCTTCCAAAAGACCCAGCCCAGGAGCTTTCCTGGATAAAAAAAAAAAAAAAAAAAGTGGCATTTGAAGCTTGAAGGGCTTTGAGTTTTATCTCAGGCTTGAGGAGGCAGCAGCTTCCACGTGGGAATGTCCCCTGGAGCAGCCAGTGAGGAGCTGCTGGTGGCCTCCTGTCCTGCCTGCTGTGGCTGCAAGCTCCCAAAGCTGCTGCCAGCCAGAGTTCAGGTGGATTTGGAACAATCCCAGAGGGAATTTTGGAGGTTCCCACAAAGGGGGAATGTGCAAGGAGTAACACAAGGAATATTCCCAAGCTTCCTTGGGATTTTCCCGGTTTTCCAGAGGGAGATGAGTTCTTGGGAAGCTCTGGGAAGGGAGCAGCCACCTCAAGGATGTGTCACAAAATCTTGGAATGCTTTGGGTTGGAAGGGACCTTAGAGACCATCCAAATTCCCATCCCTGTGTGGGAATCTTCCACTGTCCCAGGGTGCTCCAAGCCCTGTCCTAGAACATTCCCAAAGATGAGGCAGCCACAGCTTCTCTGGGCAATTGGATCATTTATAATTTATAACATTCCCGAGGATGAGGCAGCCACAGCTTCTCTGGGCAATTGGATCATTTATAATTTATGTACTTATATGATTTATCAGTATGAATTTTTGTGATAATGTATGGTCATTTATGCTGTTTCATTATAATCTTCATTAATTTTATTCACAATTATATTTTAATATTTTCTATTAATTCATTACATTATTATATTTTGATATTTATATTAACATTTTATTATTTATATATGAGGGAGCAGTTATCAATCCTATTTATCAAACATACCATGACCCAACCTCCCACAGCTGTCGATAACCTATCCCTAATTATCCTTTTTTTTTTTTTTTGTGTTTTTTTCCTCTCCCTTCCAGAATACATCCAGAAATATGCAACAGAAGAAGCACTAAAAGAACAGGAAGAGGGCACCGGGGACAGCTCATCTGAGAGCTCCATGTCTGACTTCTCTGAAGATGAGGCTCAGGACATGGAGTTGTAGTAGAGGAGGCCACCTGCTTTTCAGAGAGACTCTAATTTCCTAACCATGAGAAGCAGACTATAATATTCATATTTAAACAAAGCAATTTTTTTTATTACTAAACAAGGTTTTTATGAATTCTAGCATTGAGATATATATATATATATTTATATATATGTATATTTATATATAAATATATATATATCTGTCACCCTTTAGGTCTTGATTTTCTCGGTCATTTCCCGATCCCCGAGGTGCATTAGAGCATTCCCAACATTCCATTCTGGTAGCAATATGCAGCCCGGATGCATGCCTTGAGATTTTCCATTTGGCCAAGTCAGCTTTGGTGTGCTACCAAACAGCTGCCCTGGGAGGGAGGGAATTAGCAAAAAAACAACAAAAAAACCCCCCAAAAATCGAAACAAAAGGTAGAGAAAAAAAAAAAAAGAGGGATTTGCTGTCGGATCGAGGTTTCCACCTGAGATGTTGGCGTTTCCTCCAAGTCTAAAACCTTGGGGCTGTAGGGATGGAAGGGGCTCCTCCAGCTTGTGTTTAGAAAATAAAAAAGAGGGATTCAACTCCAAAAAACAAAACCAAACCCCAGCCCAAAGGCGTGGAGCTCCCGGGAGCACCGAAGGCGCCTCGCTGGGGATTTCAGCCCGCTGCTGTTGCCTGGACTCCTCGCTGCCTCCCGAACTGTAGGGACTGGCTGGCAGCGCTGGTGGGTTCCCTGGGGCCTCTGCAGAAGTTGGGGATGCTGTTCCCTCGGGATGGATGAGGAGCTGTTCCTGCCTGCCAGGGGAGAAGCACCCAGCAGCCCCGGGATGAGCTCTGGAGCTGGCACGGAGCCGGAGCGCCTGGAATCGACTCCTCCTGGAACCTGCTGCCCTTCCGTGGCTTCCAGCTGGCTTGGTTATTTTTGGTTTTCTTCTTCCTTTCTTTTTTCTTCCCCTCCTTCTTTTGCTGGAAATCTGGTTCAGACGCTCGTTGTGTCCTGGGAATTCTTCTCTGACCAGATGGATTGGCCTTGCCAGAGCTTCAGCTCCACGGAATTGTCCCGTTGGCCCGAGCCCACGAATCCATCGGCACCGACTCTGATTCTCCTTTTTTTTTCTTTTTAAACCTTTCTTTCCTCCCCCTTCTGCACCAGCTTGGTTCCCATCTGCTTGTGTGTGTACAACAGGATCAAAATTCCTTAAGAGTTAACAAAGAAAATGATCTAGGAAAAAAAAAAAAAACACCACAAAATTTGAGCTGAATAAAAAAAAAAAAAGCCTAAAAAGCACCAATTGAAGAAGCAAATGAATTCACTCTTTGGTTTTTTGTTGGTTTGTTTGGGTTTTTTTTTGGTTTTTTGGGTTTTTTTTGGGTTTTTTTTTCCAGGATGTTTGGGAATTGGAATGTTGGATTTCTCCTGGTGTCTTGCAGCAAGCTGAGAGATTTTTTTCTTTTTTTTTTCTTTTTTCTTTTTTTTTGCTGTTGTTCCTAGAAATCTGATAAGTAAATGTCTCCTTGGGATACTTGAATTGGGATAATTGTGCATCAATTCAAACTGAGATGGATTTTGAAAGCTGAATGTTACCTGCTGTTTTCTTTTGGGGATTTTTTGGAGGGATTTGGACGAGATCTGTTCGTTTGTGATGCGACCTGCAGGAAAAAAACCAACCCACCCTGAGCGACTCTGGAGCAGAGTTTTGAATGTCAGACTGGTACATTTGTCATTTTCCCAGAATTATTGGGCTTTGTTTCCTTTTCCTTTCGAGACTCCACCGAGCTGGGGCTGGGAGATCCCAACCCCAGTCTCTGATTCATAAAGCACAATCAGTTTCTTTTATTTCTGTTGCTTTTGGGGGAGAAAACAAAAACTCCAAGTCCCACTTGGCTTTGGCATGAATTTCCTTAATAAAAAACCTACCATGAATTTCCTTTCTGTTAATTCCGGGCACGAAGCAAAGGTTTTCCCTCTCCTTCTTCCCCTCCTTTTCCAGCAGTGGTGTAGGGCTGTGGCTAGTACTGTGCTGAAGTTCTCTATCTAGCATTTGTGGCTTGTTGGAGGGTAATATTAATTATTTAACATGTAATGATGTAATTAACTCTTATCTAGCACGTTGTTTGCTCATTAATTTGGGGAGGGAGGGGCCACGTTTAACTCGCTTTCCTGCTGCCCTGGCAGTTTTGCTTGTGCTATAAACCTTTACTTGTAGGTGCTACTTAGGAGTAGAGTCAAGTGCTGGGTGGTGATTTCAGTTTAAAAAGCTTCAAAAAACGAGAAAAAAAAAAAAAAAAAAAAAAACCAAAAAAAAAAAAAAAAAAAAGGCAACCAAAAAAAAAAAAAAAAGAAATCACAATAAAAATTTGTATTTTTTCAATATTGTATAAAAATAGTGTTCTAATTCCCTCACCCCCACTTCCCTTGCAGGGTTTTTCATCCCCATCATTCTCCTCACCTGGATTTAGGGCATCCAACTGCTGGATGGCAAACACTAAGCTGGGATTCCCAAAAAAACAAAACAAACAAACCCCAAAAATTGGGAGAGCACAGCTGGCTGTGTGAGACACAACGGGATGGATTCCTGGAGCTTGTCCAAGCCGGTGGCTCAGCCACAAAAATGCACATCCAGCGTTTGTCCTGGGAGCCAACCCGGCTGCCAAAACTGCTGGAGGGGTGGGCTGGGGCAGGTGCCCCAGGGTGGGCTGGGCTCTGCTCCTGTCCCCTCCTGCATTTCCCGCCTCTTTTCACCCAAAATCTCCCTTTTTCTCCCAAATGAATCTTTCCCCCCACAAATAATATATAAAACTTCACCTCATCTGGATGAAAGAGAGCTTGTTGTGATCATCTCCAGTTTCTTTTCCCATCTTCAGGGTGATTTTCTTCTCCCCCCAACACTGCTGGTGTCACCTTGGGGACGCTGGGATGGGCTCCCCGCTGCCAAACTCTGCCACAGCCCCCGGAGCTGCTTTGGGAACAACCTTTGCCTCCTCCCGCTGTGCTGCCTCCTTTCCCTCGAGGTTATCCGTGGCAGGAGAGGCTGGGTGGGCACAGCCCCGTCCTGTGCCCGAGTTATCCCACCAGGGATGGTTTTGGTGGATGCCAGGGGTGCTGGCACAGGGGCAGAGCAGTGCCACCAGCCTGCCACCCCTCAGCTGTGCCCCAGGGATGGTTTTGGTGGATGCCAGGGGTGCTGGCACAGGGGCAGAGCAGTGCCACCAGCCTGCCACCCCTCAGCTGTGCCCCAGGGATGGTTTTGGTGGATGCCAGGGGTGCTGGCACAGGGGCAGAGCAGTGCCACCAGCCTGCCACCCCTCAGCTGTGCCCCAGGGATGGTTTTGGTGGATGCCAGGGGTGCTGGCACAGGGGCAGAGCAGTGCCACCAGCCTGCCACCCCTCAGCTGTGCCCCAGGGATGGTTTTGGTGGATGCCAGGGGTGCTGGCACAGGGGCAGAGCAGTGCCACCAGCCTGCCACCCCTCAGCTGTGCCCCAGGGATGGTTTTGGTGGATGCCAGGGGTGCTGGCACAGGGGCAGAGCAGTGCCACCAGCCTGCCACCCCTCAGCTGTGCCCCAGGGATGGTTTTGGTGGATGCCAGGGGTGCTGGCACAGGGGCAGAGCAGTGCCACCAGCCTGCCACCCCTCAGCTGTGCCCCAGGGATGGTTTTGGTGGATGCCAGGGGTGCTGGCACAGGGGCAGAGCAGTGCCACCAGCCTGCCACCCCTCAGCTGTGCCCCAGGGATGGTTTTGGTGGATGCCAGGGGTGCTGGCACAGGGGCAGAGCAGTGCCACCCCTCAGCTGTGCCCCATGCACGGGGCTCCCCTTCCCTCCTCCCTCCCCCTGGGATACGTTTCACTGGTTTATTTTTCTTTTTTTTTCCTTTTTCCCATTTTTTCCTCTCCACCTCCTGCTGCCCCTCTGCAAGAGGCACGGTTCCCCCGCTGTGCTGGGCTCCTGGCAGGTGAGATAAGAACAGACCCCGGGGTGGTTTTGCCCTTTGGCTGAGTTGGCTTTCTGTTATTTTTCCTTTTTCTCCTCTCTTTTGCTGGCGTTGTCACAGAGCGGCGCGGCTGCCTCTCCTCTGGGTATGACCTCTCCAATAGTTGTGTATAATTCAAGAACTGTAAACTCCTTTTTTTTTAAAATAAAATCTGTATATACCTTGAAATCTGCCTGCTGTTTGGGCTCGCAGGGAGGCTCTGCATCCTCCAGGGATCAGCTCCCAAACCAGCCCCGGGCACTTTTCCACCTGGGAATTGCCACTTGGACGTGATGGTGGCAAGGCTGATGACCTCGGAGTTCTTCTCCGACCCCACCAATTCCTTTTCCAGCTCTTCTTTAGGCGATGTCCTTCCCGCAGCCACGGCCCCCAAGCTGTTTTTAGGATTTTGGGGCTGGATGAGGGAGCACGAGGCATCCACTCCTCCCATTCCTTCCCCGAGGTCTCCCCGCAGCTGCAGAAGTTGTCCCAGGTGAGGCTGCCCGGGATTCCACGGGAGCTGCGTAATTAATGGTAATTAACAGCTGGTAATTAGGCAGAGCGGCTGTTTGCTGGATAATCGCTCCTCATTTTGCTCAGAGCCGGGGAAGGGTCGGGATGAGGTGAGCAGGGAATGGTGGGAGCAGCTCAGGGACCCCCGGGGTGTGGGTGGGCCAGGGGAGGTGACAGCGGCTGGCATGGCCTTGTCCCCTCTCACCCCGCTCTGGTTCCTGCACTGCCGCCCCAAAGCTGCTGGAGCAGAGCCCGACCTTCCTCTCCATCCATCCTCCTCCTCCTCGTCCCCAGCTCGGGGCTGTTTGTCACCAGCCTGGCGGCTCTGTGCCACGCCAGTGCCACCTGCTGCCCCTGCCCGGGGTGCGACACTGTCCCCGGCCACTCCCGGAGTGCCACCAGGCTCCGAGCAGGGGCCGGCAAGGGGGGACAGTCCCGCGCCCCCCTCGCGGTGTCCCCTGGCGGTGTCCCCTGGCGGTGTCCCCTCCCTCGGGGGCTCCGAGGGCAGCGGGGGTGGCGCTGTCCCCTCCGCCCGGCAGGTGGCCCCCGCGCCCCGCCAGTGCCCTCCCAGTCCGCCCAGTCCGGGGCAGAGCTGGCCCCGGCTCTGGGGCCCTCCCTGTCCCCCGGCAGTGTCCCCACGGCCGCTCTGTCCCCACTGTCCCCCGAGTGCCAAGTGCCACCCGCTGTCCCCCCTCGGGGCGTGGCTGTGGTCTGGGGGGTCAGCGTTAGGGTGACATGGGGGGACAGGGACACAGAGCTGGTGGCAGGTGCTGCTCCCGCTCCCGGAGGTGTCACCCTGCCCTGGGGGCACCCAGAGGTGTCACCCTGCCGGGTCTGTGACAGGGTCAAAGGGCAAAGCCTGGGGCTCCCTGGGATGCGGGTGGCACCTCAGGGGGCTCTGGGAGCCATCACTGTGGGGTGACATTCCCATGGAGCTCCAGATGACATTCCCATAGGTCTCCGGGTGACATTCCCATGGGACTCTGGCTTTTACCACCGCAGAGCTTTGGGTGTTGTCCCCAAGGAGCTTTGGGTGCCGTTCCCATGGGACTTCTGGTGTCACTCCCACTGGGCTCTGGGTGCCACCCCAAAGGGGCTCTGGGGCCATTGCATTGGCTGCCATCCCTGAGGAGTTTGGGTGCCATCCTGAGGGGTTTGGGTGCCATCCCTAAGGAGTTTGGGTGCCATCCCTGAGGGGTCCCTGCCGGGTCTGTGACAGGGTCAAAGGGCAAAGCCTGGGGCTCCCTGGGATGCGGGTGACACCTCAGGGGGCTCTGGGAGCCATCACTGTGGGGTGACATTCCCATGGAGCTCCAGATGACATTCCCATAGGTCTCCGGGTGACATTCCCATGGGACTCTGGCTTTTACCACCGCAGAGCTTTGGGTGTTGTCCCCAAGGAGCTTTGGGTGCCGTTCCCATGGGACTTCTGGTGTCACTCCCACTGGGCTCTGGGTGCCACCCCAAAGGGGCTCTGGGGCCATTGCATTAGCTGCCATCCCTGAGGAGTTTTGGGTGCCATCCCTGAGGGGTTTGGGTGCCATCCCTAAGGAGTTTGGGTGCCATCCCTGAGGGGTTTGGGTGCCATCCCTAAGGAGTTTTGGGTGCCAGCCCCTCGGGGCTCTGCCTGCCAGCCCATGGAGCTTTGGGTGCCATCCCCGTGGCTCTCTGGGTCCTGTTTCCATGTGGCTTTGGGTGACATCCCCACGGAATTCTGAGCACTCTGAACATCTGGGTGCTCTCCCTGTGGTGGTTGGGTGCCATCCCCAGGGGGTTTGGGTGCCATCCCCAGGGGGTTTGGGTGCCATTTCCATTTGCCTCTGGCTGCTGTTCCCATCTGCCTCTGCTTGGTGCCATCCCTGTGGGGACCTGGGTGCCACCCCCATGAAGATCTGGGTGCCATCACATCAGGCTTTGGTTGTGACATCCCCAAGGGTCTGTGGGTGCCACCCCAAGGGTCTGTGGGTGCCACCCCTGTCAGGGCCCACAGCCCCTGTGACAGACGGGGACACCCCAGCGCTGGCAGGTGCTCCGGGCTCTGCTCCTGGTGGGAGCGGGGCATTCCCAGCCCTCCCGGCTTTGTCCCTGTCCCTGCCCAGGACCTTCCACCCTGGGGACCGCTCCCCATCCCCGCGGCGACCCGGAGATGCCCTGGGGTCCTGCCGTGCCCGGCGGGTGCCGTGTGTCCATCCGGACGCCCCCAGACCAGACGGGCCGCCCGTGGTGACCCCGATGTCCCCGGGGGACACCTGAGCCTCCCGCCGGCTCCGGTTACGGCCGAATTGTTCCTCCCGGCTGGAAGAAATGCCGTCAGCGCCGCGATCGCTGGCCATTACTAATGCATGACATTCCCTGGGGACACGGCCCTGTCCCACCCCCCGCGGCGGGACCCGCGCCCCCCGAGCCCCCCGCAGCCCCGGGGAAAGGCAGGATGGGTGTGGGGAAGGCTTTGGCTCCCTCTCCCTCCACCCGGCTCAGGATGTGCCTGTCCAAGGGAGCCAGCCGAGTGTTCCCGGCTGGAATGGTGGGGCTGGAGGCAGAATGGACCTTCCCAGACGGATCCCACCGCCCCTGTCACACCCCGGGAGTGCCCCTGCAGAGAACACTGCCAGCTCAGGGCACGTTTGGTGACAAATGTCTCTGTTTTCCCCATAACCGGTGATTCTGAGCCTTTCAGAGCCGGGGTTTCTCCCTCCCTGCTTTGCTCCTTCCCAATTTTTAACTCTTTTCCCCCAGCTCCTCCCTTCACCCCATTTTCCTCTCCCCACCTGAGCGTGGTGATGCTGAATCCAACAGCTCCAGACCAAAACCCCCAACGGGATGGGATGCTCATCCCTGCTCATCCCTGCTCACCCCTGCTCACCCCAGCTGGGGGTGATGCCCACCAGGGTCACCCAGGCTCCCACCTCCCTGTCCCTGATCTTCCACCCCATTTTCAAGCCGGGATCTCACGGAACAGGGAGGATTTTGCCATTTTGCCGGGAGGGTTCCCTGGCTAATGCACCTGGGCTGCTCCCCCATCCCTGCACATCAATATTGCATTGTCCTTCCATCCCCTGCCAGCCCGGCCCTGCTGAGCCCCCTCCACCTTTCCAGAGCCTCCTCCAGCTCCATCCATTCAATATTGGGCGCAGGAACCCAAGAAGGAGACGTAAATTTTTAAACAGGGCCATCGGCTCCGCTCGGCTTACGCGGGACGAGGTCCCCGCGGGATTTCGGCCGCACCTCGGCGGAGCCCAAATATTGATGAGGATGGGAGGGATGAGCCCGGAGCTGAGGGCCCCATCCCCTGCTTGGGTTGGCACCGTGCAGGCCATCGGGATGTCCCAGCTTTGGGATCATGCCCTGGCATGGGCAGCACCCCAGAGCCTCCTTGCTTGGGGACCGTCCTTAGTTGGGGCCACCCTGGGAGCTCAGGGACCATCCCAGGCTCTTGGGGATCACTCCAGGTTCTTTCTTGCTTGGAGACCATCCAAGGACCTTGGGGAGGGATCATCCTGGTTTCTGGGGATCATCTGGGATGCTTTCCACCCTGGGGACAGTTTTGGAGTGTCAGGAACCATCCTGGGGTCTCAGGGACCATCCCAGGCTCTTGGGCACCATCCTGGGGTCTTGAGGATCATCCTGACTTCTGGGGGCCATCTGGGGTTCTTCTTTTCTTGGGGATAATCCTGGAGGCTCCAGAAGTGTCTCGAGGTCTCCAGGACCCTCTTGGGGACCATCCTTGCACCTGGGGACCATCCCAGCTGCCTCCCTCCCTGAGGACCCTCCTGGAATTCTGGGAAGCATCTGATGGGATGTAGGGGCCATCCCAGCTGCTTCCCACCCTTAGGGACCACCCTTGGCTCAAGGGGACCACGCCAGGTCTTGGGGACCCCCGGAGGTGCCCCCAGGCTCCAGGAGCACCCTGGGCTCCCTGGGTTTGGGGACCATGCCAGGACCCTCCTCTCTCCAGCCCGCTGCGGGGTCCCACGGAGCAGCATCCCGAGCGCATCCCAACCCCAGATCCACCCCCTCACCCTTCCCAGCCCCTCCTCCTCCCCTTGCCCCCCCATCTCTCTTGGGGGGCTACCCCCAGCCCAGCCCAGGGAGGTTTAACCCCCTCCAAAAAACCCCGGGAAGCACCGATGGCTTCTCCCACCCTCCATCCCCGCGGCAACCCGATGCCGGTCCCGGCGGGCAGCCCGGCCCCAAACTGGTCGGGCTGGTTTGGAGCCCGGCGCTGCTCGCTCGCCCTGGGCCGGGGGGGCGGCGCTGACCCCCCCGGAGAGTTTTATTCTTATAGATTTCTATTTTTATATATTTGTGTATTTATATTTTTACATATGGTTTGAACCTGCGTTATTGCGCTGGGGGAGTTTGGGGCGATTTGGGGTGGTTGGGGGGGGGTTTAATGTGGGGACAAGAAGCGGAATTTTGGGGGGTGGGATATAATTTTATCAGGATGGGGGGCGGGCGGCTCCGGTGCGGACCATCCCTGGAGCCGCAGCGCTGGGACGAGGAGGGGACCCCTCCGGAGCCCCGGGACAACCGGGAGCGCTTCCCCCCCCCGGTATCCATCACACGAGCCGCCCCCCCTCACCCACGCCCGGGGGTCGCGCCCCCCGAGCCCCCCGCCCATCCCCGTCCCCTCGGGGCG